ATCCTAAACCACCACCAATGGAGAACTGTAATAACAAATCCTAAACCACCACCACTGGTGAACTGTAATAACAAATCCTAAACCACCACAGTGGAGAACTGTAATAACAAATCCTAAACCACCACCACTGGAGAACTGTAATAACAAATCCTAAACCACCACAGTGGAGAACTGTAATAACAAATCCTAAACCACCACCACTGGAGAACTGTAATAATAAATCCTAAACCACCACCAATGGAGAACTGTAATTACAAATCCTAAACCACCACAGTGGAGAACTGTAATAACAAATCCTAAACCACCACCAATGGAGAACTGTAATAACAAATCCTAAACCACCACAGTGGAGAACTGTAATAACAAATCCTAAACCACCACAGTGGAGAACTGTAATAACAAATCCTAAACCACCACAGTGGAGAACTGTGATAACAAATCCTAAACCACCACCGGAGAACTGTTCGAGTTATGCCACCTCTCCTTAGCCGATTTGTTGATTTGGTCAAAGCCACCTTGAGTAATGCATACGACTTAAATAAGCGAGTTTTACCTTTTTTGTCCTAATCTCCCCTTAAGTATAATTATTTTCCTCGTGCTCCCTTTCCCCTTCACCCTAATATGAGTGATATTTTTCACTCAATTTCTAACAATGATAGCAGAGAATTATTTATGTGTAAAGAAAACAACACAAAAGTATACAAATATAAGGTTGCTCGTAAACCTATTCTGAACTTATCTATTTCTCTTTGAAGGTTGAGCATGTTTTTTGGATTTGGGTTATTAAAAGTCATTTCACTCATGGTCCGGCTTTCGAAAGCGCTCGGGTTATAGGTTTTTTTTATCATTTTGTATTTACTATATTTTACTTGTTTGTATTACTTAACTTTTTTTAAAGCTCTAGACTGACTGCTTGGTGCTGAGAGAGAGAGAGAGCCCTGTTTCCAGTGGCTATGGTGGAAGAAGGCAAAATTCTATTGAAATATTATGTCTGTAATTCTTCTGTTTTAAAAAACAATAAAAATGTGACCATTTCAGAAACTGAAAGCATTGATACACAACTCCCAACAAACATAATATATTAAGCCATATAGACTCTTTCAGTTCGAAATTCGTTTTTAACGGCTCGTATAGAAAAATAGCGTAACAATAATGTTGTCCTTTATTACTTCATGTGATACCTAAAAGCTACTTTTATATGAAATGTAAAAATGGAAATTAAGTAAATATAAATTTTATAGGAATGTACTGAATACTATTCTTTGGCAAAAAAATAAAAATACATTAAGTTTATTAAAAGACAAGTCTTTCAGAGACTAGTTATTTACCGTTTTTGTTTATCAAATTACTACGTTTGTTTCTAGAATGTGAGTATGAGTACTTTACTTTTTCAGTCAGATTAATATTACACTGATTAATACCTTAATCTGATACCATAAAAATACATATATAAATATCGCAGTTTTATTTTGAAGGAACATAACCTTGAATTAATTTTACTAAACTGTTTTGTACCATGACAGAGAACTGAATATAAGTCTAAGTATCGATCCGCACAGTATCAACTCACTCTCACCTGACCAAGACAGCCTACATTATGATGATATTTCTAAAACTCTGGACGCTAGTTTGGCAGAAATAGACATGGAGACGTTTCGGTCGGAAGATATCAACTCCCTTTTGGCGCTTCCCGGAGTATACAGCATCGGGAGCGAGATTGAGGGTTGTTCTCTGGGAGAAAATTGTGCGTCGCTGTCAGCTTCACTTCTGAAAGACTTTGAACTGGAACGTTCAGTCAGGTGAGCAGTAATAAGGATAGCAAATTTAAAACTATTTTAAAATTTTAGGCTTCACTAATTTAACAATTAGAAAACATGGCCATATTTCAACTTGAAATTAGAAAGGGTTTTTGGTGGTTTAGAGTAATATAATAAAATGTTTGAACGTTCAACATGTATTCTTAACTTGTTAATTACTGCTAATGTTTATCAACTGCTAAATAGATAAAAATGTTATATAAATTAAAAGTTAGATTGAGCAGTTCCCTAACAGTAACCGTGGATTGGTTTGATGTACGTTTAAAAGTCAAACGTTTTGTTAGCAAATAAGTGCAGGCCCGGCATGGCCAAGTGGTTAGAGAGCTCGACTCGCAATCTGAGGGTCGCGGGTTCGAATCCCCGTTCTACCAAACATGCTCGCCCTTTCAGCCTTGGGGGCGTTATAATGTGACGGTCAATCCCACTATTCGTTGGTAAAAGTGTAGCCCAAGAGTTGGCGGTGGGTGGTGATGACTAGCTGACTTCCCTCTAGTCTTACACTGCTAAATTTGGGACGGCTAGCGCAGATAGCCCTCGTGTAGCTTTGCGCGAAATTCAAGACAAACAAGCAAATAAGTGCAAGAAAGATAAGTTTGTTAGCTATACCAAAATAAAAGGTTTTAAAATAATACGTTCTTAATTTCTTGTTTTGTTTTGAATTTTGTGTTATATTCTAGGAAAAAAGTTTTAAAGTTACAAATGTTTCAGTGTTAAAAATCTCTAACATTGTTAACACCTTGTCTTTTCAGCGCTCATAACTTATCAGAAGATGAGTCTGCTGAAGGATCTATTTGTAAAGATGAGCCACTTTTTTCACCCACAAAAGAGCCTTTGAACGTGAACAGCATTTCGGTGGATAGTTTAGATTGTACTTCATTTGACGAACATAATATTGCTGTTACATGTCTAGCCAAGAAAAGTAATTACACTATTGCATTTGAAGGGAGTGGAACACAGTTGTCAGAAAACATAGACCCTGTAGAGACAAAACAAAATAAGGAAGACATTCCAAGACCAGCAGTGATACCCGAGTATCCCCCGGATCAGAAAGTGTATTACAACTCTCTGGTACAATCTGATGTATCATACACAAGTTGGAGAAACTTGAAAAATATTAAGCCAGCTACTCGACCAGCATTACCTACCAAATATCAACACTTCAGAAGCAAGAGTCTTCCCAATCTGCTTAAAAAATCTTTAGAATTGGCAGAGAAACATTCTTGCGAACGTGAATTGAAGATAAATCCAGTAAAATATATACCTATATACGAGCTTCACAATAGCTATTCGGGTTCTCTTCAAGGTATTAAAGAGAAAGAAAACAAAAATTCTGTTCCTTTATTTAAACTTTTTATTAAAAACAAATCTTCATTAGCATCAGACAAGTTATCTCTCTCTGAATCAAGCAGTCGGTCTGGATCTTTAGAAAATATAGTACCATATCATCTCATTTACTCCAACGAAACTATTCTTAAGACGGAAACAAATGGACGCAAAGATAAAACAGACGTTTCTTTTAAAAGACATAAACTTGAAAGGAACTGCGATAATTATAAAGATAATTTCATCAGCTCATCAAATCCTTTAGAGTGCAATAATGAAAAGGAACTTCAAGTCGCACTCTTCAAGCAAAGACAGGCAGCAAAACCAGGAAAACACATTTTGAATACACATGCAATTGAACTGAATAATAATTTGATTCAAACAAACGTTAACAACAAGAATCCTATGATTAATGTGAATACAACTGTCATTAATCACAAAGAGACCTCATCAGAAAGTAACGAAAGCAGCTCTCAGGGTTTTGAGGACAGTCTGGTAGAGGGACTTTTAACACAACCTACTCATACACATTCCTCCACTATTAGAGAAGAAGAGGAACTGTTAGACACCGATTCATTTAGTGGAGATGAAACAATGAGAGATAGCAAGGATCCTTTTGGCAGTGATGGCAGTATGTCGGAGGAGACTTCTGTACCCAAAAACAATGTCAATGAAAATAAATATGTTATACCAAAACCTGTGGACGAGAGTAAGACAGTTCAGAGAATTAAAAATATTCTTCGTGTAGAGAATACATCTGTAAACAATATCTGTGTCACAAATGATGGTAATAAACAATCAGAGATAAGCACTGAGATGAATCTCGAAAGCAATTCCCAGGGAACTCAGACAAAGACCGTAAATGGCAAGATAAACATCTCTGCATGTTCGTGTAGAGACAAGAATTCATCTCAGCCTTTTTCAAGTTTAGAGGAGGTACTAAACAATAATAGACAAAGTCGTAAATCAAGAGAAACTAGCCCTGCTTCTAGTGGCTATGGCGGGAGTAGGCAAAATTCAATGGAAAGATTGCGTCACAGTTCTCAAACGTTCATCAATAACAGCAACTCTTCTTCTTCTGCTGTTTTGAAAAACAACAAAAATGTGACCATTGCCAAAACTAGAAGCATTGCTACACAAATTCCAATACACATAAGAGATCAAGCCATACAGACTTCGTTAGTAACTAATAGTAGCCATGTTGGAAGCTTTAGTATTCACGAAGGATACACGGACTCTTCAGAGTATAAAACTAGTGCATATATCTCTCCATCTATGTCTTCTGATAACTCAAAATTTTCGAGCCCTTCAAGTGGCACAAACGCGCAGACGAAACCTGTATTTGTTTGTTATCCAAGTTATTCATTGCCAGATCTAAGTTTTTTGAAGACCCTTGGTAATAGACCAAAAGAAAACGATTTAGTCAAGTCTAGAACAACTGATATATTTTCAACAACTTGTACCAGTGCCATTATGAATCAAAAGAACATTGAAAAGAAAACAATTTCTAGTCCTGGAAGCAATGAAACACTTTCAGAGAACGGTTTTAGTCATATTAAAGATTGGGATTCATTAAGTATTTTGCTTCCCAATGGATTGAAGTCTGTTCTTCCAAACTATTACCAGAGAACTGACAATGATCTAGATCACAGATGTCTAGATGAAAATGGATTTCATTGCAGTTGTTCTGGTATAATTAATAGATGTTGTACAGAATACGTAGGAAATCAAACTCACAAAAATAGAGAGCTATCCTGTTCTGGTGAAAGCTTCTCTACAACATCAAGCTCACGAGGTAGTGAACATCCGCATTCTGACATCTTAGGTATGCAAAACAAAGGTGTAGGGATTCTTCCACCTTTACCTAAACGCTCTCTTTCCTTAATGTTCGAAAAAACTCATTTTGAAAAAGGCCAATATGATAATAATCATTCTCGACGAGGCATTTTAAGGAAGTCATCGTCAGCAGGTCATTGTAACAAACAAAGGATTCATGATAAACGTGATGTGACGTGTCGTGGAGTATCTTGCCAGTTAGATTTAAAAAGATGTAGCCAACTTGATCAGTACACACAGTCCTTAGAAAACATCCCAGAAAAACTCCCTCAACCTGAAAATGAAGCTAAGTATGCTAAAATGACCAAATCCCCGTTACAATACATTGGTAACCAGTCCTTGATAGAAACCTTACCAGACCATATTAAATACAACTCTGGTGTTACTAATAATACGAGAGAAACCTGTGCACCAGAAAATAATCGAATTTTGCTTAATCCTGTTAAGAAAACCCTCTCTGATGGACACTGTCCAAGAGGCCAGGTTTTTGAAACCCACTTTCCACAACTATCTCAACATAACACTCAGACTACATCCTACATTTGTAAAAACAGCACGAATGCTGAACAAAATGACAAGTGGGGAAGTCAGTGTTGCTCTTGTAGCCTTAACTCTCTAACATCCCCAATCCATCAGCTCTGTGACCAACTTCAACAACTACTTAACTCCAGCACAAGTCTAAACCTGATGGCGGCAGCTTTGTTATCTACAAAAGGTTCATCAGACGCAGTGAATTGTTGCAGTTTTTCTTCGCAATCCAGCTGTTTTCGCGGGAAAAAGTCCGTCACTTTTGATGACGATAGTATAACGAAAGAAAACAACATTACTTCTAGTAAGTTTCTCTTCTTTTTGTCGCTTGTAATGAAGTACATATATAATTTCAAAGAATAATTAAATGTAATTCAAAGTAGACGTTTGATGTGTTTCAGTTAGAAGTCCTCTCTAAGGGCCCCCAGTAACACAGCGGTATGTCTGCGGACTTACAACGCTAGAATCTGGGTTTCGATACCAGTAGTGGTCAGAGCACAGATAGCCCATTGTGTAGCTTTGTGCTTAACTTAAAAAACAAACAAACAAACCTCTCTAAGGAATTAATTAACAAAAGTAATAGTCGTTGCTAAGCTTTCGAAATCTGATTCTTTGTAGTTACATACGTTTATCAGCTTCTTAGATTAATTAAGAATTTATTGGCAAGTGTAGCTAGTCAGAAGTAAATGTCTCTTATAAGTATTGTCTCTGCATCAATAAAACTGTCTTTTCTTCTAATCAATATTCAATTACAAGCTAAGGCTTGTAAACGTTGGTGCTGTTATTGCCTCATAATTTTAATTTCCAAACACGTTAGATTAAGCAAATTTTACAAAAAAAACCCAAACATATGAATAAAGTAACATTAAAATTATCGTATATCATGCTTTTATAGTTAATGAGCTGATTTCTCTATAATTATTATTGATATGTATGTGAATATAGAACCTTAAAACATATCTTAATTTTTTCACTGCCTTGGACACATATATATGTCGACTTCTAGAGTAGCGTTTCTCAACCTTCTCGTTGCTTAGGACCGACTAGGTGCCTCTCTAAACTATTGAGGTACAACGAAAAATCATCACGATTTACTTGTGAACATTCTGCCCATTTTTTATTTGTTTGTTTACTTGTATGAAATCCTACGGACCAGCGAACATTCGCAGACCGTGAGTTGAGACACTGTCTTGTGAAACATACTGTCGTTTTGTTGTCACTGTGTATATCTAAAAATAAATTTGACGTTGAGAGAATTCATCTCTAAACGTGACGATGAAAGACTTAATGTGCCACGGAAGATTGTAATATTGTGAGCAAAATTTGTAGAAATATTTGTATACAAAATACAGCACAATAATATAAATATACAATTAAACCTATCCACGGAGTAGGACATTCTTGCTGTGAACAATTTAATATTTTTCACTTCTTTTTTTTTTTCCATTTTCTCGCATAGCTACCCAGGAGAGTCCGAAAGATGAAGTGAACAGTGAGGATGATTCCGACAGTCCGCCTCAAGAGTTTGTTGTATCACCACAGCAAGGGTCGCCTTCAATGTTCGCACAACCTATAATTTCCTCCGACATGAATAATTTTCCAAAGCCAACTGACGTTCTTGATTTATATATGAATCATAAAACGGGTAAGCCCGTTTATTGTAGCATGAAGTGTATTTTGTAAATGTTCACAGAGCTTAAAAAAAAGCTTCAATTACCTAAAATTTAGAACCTCTTCGTTCTTAGACTTCCATTATTTAATTATTTTTTTTATCAAACTTTTTAAATGTTGGACCCTGTATAAGCAGTGACCATTAAATATATGCAATATTATGAAATGTTGTACAAATTCATAAAGAGTTTGATTGACAAATTATAATCAATTTAAGTGATAGATAAATTAAAATATTTTAACATGTATTGTGAAACTTTAGTGTATAATTAGTGTTAATAGTAATAACCTAAATGTATATATGATGAACCAATATGGTCAAGAGATCGATGAAACGATGCAGTGGATTATAAAAAGCTCTTTTAGTTAAAATTACGTATTGCATCATTACATAATTAAGAATGTAGTGATGTAAAACGTTTACCCCGATTATTGTACTATTACGTAACTAAGAAGGTATACTGATGTAAAACGTTTACCCCGATTATTGCACTATTACGTAACTAAGAAGGTATACTGATGTAAAACGTTTACCCCGATTATTGCACAATTACGTAACTAAGAAGGTATACTGATGTAAAACGTTTACCCCGATTATTGCACTATTACGTAACTAAGAAGGTATACTGATGTAAAACGTTTACCCCTATTATTGCACTATTACGTAACTAAGAAGGTATACTAATGTAAAACGTTTACCCCGATTATTGCACAATTACGTAACTAAGAAGGTATACTTATGTAAAACGTTTACCCCGATTATTGCACAATTACGTAACTAAGAAGGTATACTGATGTAAACGTTTACCCGGATTATACGTGAAAAAGTACTGTAGTACCGTTTTAGTTTATACACAAATTAAACAAGAATAGAATAGA